GAGAGGGAGAAGGAAACAGGGAAGGAGGGAGGGGGGAGAAGGAAACAGAGGGAGGGGGAAGAAAGAAACAGGGAGGGAGGGGGAAAAAAGAGGGAGGGAGGGGGGAGAAGGAAACAGGGAGGGAGGGGGAGAAGGAAACAGGGAAGGAGGGGGAAGAAAGAAACAGGGAGGGGGGAGAAAGAAACTAACAGGGAGGTGGGGGGAAAGAAACTAACAGGGAGGTGGGGGGAAGAAACTAACAGGGGGGGAACTAACAGGGAGGGGGGAGACATTGACAGGGAGGGGAATTGACGGGGAGAGAGAAATTGACAGGGAGGGGGGAGTGACAGGGGAGGGAGGGGGAAATGAGAGTAACAAGGGAGGGGGGGAGAAGAGAGTGACAAGGGAGGGGGGAGAGATTGACATCAATCACACACAATGCACCCCTTACACACAAAGACAATGAACCCCTTGCACACAGAAAAACACACAATGCATTACACACACAATGCATTACACACACACACCCAATGCAACCCTTACACACAATGCATCCCTTGCACACACAGAAACACACAATGCATTCCTTACACACACTCAATGCACCCCTTACAGACTCACACACTTCATCCCTTACATACACAGAAACACACCCTGCAGCCCTTACACATACAAACACAGATTCACAAAATGCATTCCTTACACACAAATCAGGACATTCCCTACACACTCCATCCCCTGTGAACAAACTCATTGGTGGAAAATGAAGGTGGACCCTGGGACCCAGACCTTGAGCTGTGTAAAAGGCCCCCAAAAAATGGAGCTGCTTCTCGTTCTCCCAGAACATTGATTTGTGTGACCACAGTTACAAACCGCCTCCAGAGATCCTGTTATACACCAGACCAGTGGAGCCAGACTGCAGCTAGAGCCCATCATCATCATCCTCATCTGCTTGTAAGTAGGTAATCTAGTATATTATTCGTGGCACTAATCTCTAATTTACCTCACATTAAAGAAACACTATAGTCCCCAGAACCACCGCACCTTAATGTAGTGGTCCTGGTGTCTATAGCCTGTCCCTGCAGGCCTTTTAATGTAAACACAGCGGCACTGCAGCACTAGCGTTAGTTAACATGGCAGGTCATATGGGTGGGGCATTGCGATGTCACGGGGGGGAGGAGGGGGGCGTCAAACTTTACTTTTGCCTAGGGCGGCAAAAATCCTTGCACCGGCCCTGGCTGTATATTATATAATATATTATAATACTGACTGTATATTATATATTATACAGGCTGTATATTATATAATATATTATAATACTGACTGTATACCATATAATATATTATAATACAGGCTGTATATTATATAATATATTATAATACTGACAGTACATTATATAATATATTATAATACTGACTGTATACTATATATTATAATACTGACTGTACATTATATAATATATTATAATACTGACAGTACATTATATAATATATTATAATACTGACTGTATACTATATATTATAATACTGACTGTACATTATATAATATATTATAATACTGACAGTACATTATATAATATATTATACTGACAGTATATTATATAATATATTATAATACAGACTGTATACTATATAATATATTATACTGACTGTATATTATATAATATATTATAATACTGACAGTACATTATATAATATATTATAATACTGACTGTATACTATATATTATAATACTGACAGTATACTATATAATATATTATAATACAGACAGTATACTACATAATATATTATAATACTGACTGTATACTATATATTATAATACTGACAGTATACTATATAATATATTATAATACAGGCTGTATATTATATATTATAATACAGACAGTATACTATATAATATATTTTAATACAGACTGTATAATATATAATATATTATAATACAGACAGTATATTATAATACAGACAGTATACTATATAATATATTATAATACAGACTGTATATTATATAATATATAATAATACAGGCTGTATATTATATAATATATTATAATACAGACAGTATACTATATAATATATTATAATACAGACTTTATATAATATATTATAATAGACAGTATATTATAATACTGACAGTATACTATATAATATATTATAATACAGACTGTATATTATATAATATATTATAATACAGACAGTATACTATATAATATATTATAATACAGGCTGTATATTATATAATATATTATAATAGACAGTATATTATATAATATATTATAATACAGGCTGTATATTATATAATATATTATAATACAGGCTGTATATTATATAATATATTATAATACTGACTGTATATTATAATACTGACTGTATATTATATAATATATTATTATACAGGCTGTACATTATATAATATATTATAATACTGACTGTATATTATATAATATAATACTGGCTGTATATTATATAATATATTATAATACTGACTGTATATTATATAATATAATACTGGCTGTATATTATATAATATATTATAATACAGGCTGTACATTATATAATATATTATAATACTGACTGTATATTATATAATATAATACTGGCTGTATATTATATAATATATTATAATACAGGCTGTATATTATATAATATATTATAATACAGACAGTATATTATATAATATATTATAATACAGGCTGTATATTATATAATATATTATAATACTGACAGTACATTATATAATATATTATAATACAGACAGTATATTATATAATATATTATCATACAGGCTGTATATTATATAATATATTATCATACAGGCTGTATATTATATAATATATTATCATACAGGCTGTATATATATAATACTGACTATATACAATGTCAGTCTGACAGGTTTTGTTCCAGTGTGAGCCCAGGTAACCTCTCACCGCCCATCACTACAGCATGTCGCCATGGTAACGCTCGGGCTCCTCCCCTCGCTGCGCTGATTGGTTACTCCTTCCAAGCCGCCACCTGTTCCGACTGCCTGTGCTACCGTATGAATGGCTACAGCACGAAAGCGCGCCACCTGATATCATCTCAGCCTCCTGCTTCGGCAGCCAATAGCGTGAGTGCGAGGGCGGGGTTACTGCCGGTGGGCGTGGCTTGCAGTGGTCAGTGTGGTTAGAGGAGGAGGTTGGAGCCGCTGTCAGTGCGGGCGGAGAGCAGTGACTGACAGGTACAGTACATAGACTGCATGCCCATGGTCAGCATAGAGCGGCCATACAGCCAGGGACTGTCCTTCTCAGCTCTACTCTATCATTACTGTGGGGACCAGACATAGCAGCCAGGGACTGTCCTTCCCAGCTCTACTCTCTATCATTACTGTGGGGACCAGACATGGCAGCCAGGGACTGTCCTTCCCAGCTCTACTCTCTATCATTACTGTGGGGACCAGACATGGCAGCCAGGGACTGTCCTTCCCAGCTCTACTCTATCATTACTGTGGGGACCAGACATGGCAGCCAGGGACTGTCCTTCCCAGCTCTACTCTATCATTACTGTGGGGACCAGACATGGCAGCCAGGGACTGTCCTTCTCTGCTCTACTCTCTGTCATTACTGTGGGGACCAGACATAGCAGCCAGGGACTGTCCTTCTCAGCTCTACTCTCTGTCATTACTGTGGGGACCAGACATAGCAGCCAGGGACTGTCCTTCTCAGCTCTACTCTCTGTCATTACTGTGGGGACCAGACATAGCAGCCAGGGACTGTCCTTCTCAGCTCTACTCTCTATCATTACTGTGGGGACCAGACATAGCAGCCAGGGACTGTCCTTCCCATCATTACTGTGGGGACCAGACATGGCAGCCAGGGACTGTCCTTCTCAGCTCTACTCTCTATCATTACTTTGGGGACCAGACATAGCATCACTGGCAGTGCATCATGGAAGCTGTGGTTTTATCAAACTGGTCCCTCTGCCTCCCATAGTACAGGGTTTTTACATTGATTAAAGGGACACTATAGAATCCATTTAACCCAATTAAAGCAGGCTTTGCAGCTTATGATAAAGACCAATTCTTTATTAAAATCTGCTTACCAGTGATATTAACCCCTTAACGACACAGCTCCAGCAACGCTCTCGCCGTCTAAGGACTTTGTAGCGTTTACAAAGACGGTGACATCACCGCTTGGGGTGTGGGGGCAGGGGTCTGGCAAAGGTGAGTTTTACTTACCTGAACCTGTCCATCATGGGCGCTGTTCTCTTCAGCTCCTGGCGCTGCGTCTTTAAACGAAGGATAAGCATGACGGAAATTACTGTCACGCTTCCTTAAGAGGTTAAAATGTGCAAAATCTTATTTGTTTTTGTTTTCTTTTATAGTGATACTTATACCAGGTCGCAAAATTTCCACTCACTCATAACAAGCTAAATATTTTTAGCCAAGGCGTGTAGAAATCGATCCCTGGTGAATGTGTCATGGGCTCTCGATACTTTTAGTGGGGAGTACATTTTATTTAAAGGACTGACGAGAAGCATAGGACTTGAAATTTAAACCCTGTTTTAAATTGACACTTTTTCTGTGTATGTATTGATTTTTATATTGCTTTTTCTATTCAGTGAGCCTGGGAAGTAGCTGACACTGAACAGCCAATTCTAAATTTCTTCTGTTGATTGTTTGAAATGGGAGCTGTCACATGAACTTGAACTGCATCGGCTCATGCTTCTCCTTGCATGTTTGTGCGTCTTAAATTAAACTAAAACGAGCAAAAGGGCAATATTTGCACATAAAATTGGTTAAAGGACCATTCTAGGCACCCAGACCACTTCAGCTTAATGAAGTGGTCTGGGTGCCTGGTCCAGCTAGGGTTAACCCATTTTTTCATAAACATAGTTTCAGAGAAACTGCTATGTTTATGAATGGGTTAAGCCTTCCCCTATTTCCTCTAGTGGCTGTCTCATTTACAGCCACTAGAGGCGCTTGCCTGCTTCTCACTGTGATTTTCACAGTGAGAGCACGCAAGCGTCCATAGGAAAGCATTATGAATGCTTTCCTATGTGACCGGCTGAATGCGCGCGCAGCTCTTGCCGCGCGTGCGCATTCAGCCGCATGGGAGGATCGGAGGAGGAGAGCTCTCCGCCCAGCGCTGGAAAAAGGTAAATTTTTACCCCTTTCCAGAGCCGGGCGGGAGGGGGTCCCTGAGGGTGGGGGCACCCTCAGGGCACTATAGTGCCAGGAAAACGAGTATGTTTTCCTGGCACTATAGTGGTCCTTTAAGTATTTGTCAGCTTAAAATCAATAGTTTATTCACTAAACTTAACTGAAATTTTAGTGAAGCCCAGATTGCAAAATATAAGCAGATATAGTAGTCCAATAGTCCAAATCAGCTCTTATGGGCTTAATTGTGATAATCAACTTTTCAGTTTGCTAAAATACATTGTTGCTGCCAGCTCCACGCAGGGTCACAGTCCAAATATTTCAGCTCTTGATAGATAAGCCTATGATCTGGAGAGCATGTATTTGGACTGTGACCCTGCGGGAAGGACCAAGTACTATTTTTAAATGGGGACTGTCAGTAATGAGGGTTTGCCCAAACCAGTTGCGAACAAAAATTTAGTTATGCATTGTGCTGTTTCTTTTTTAAAAAAAAAAAGTGGGGGGGGGGGGTGGTTATGTGCTGGGTGCATAGGGTCTGTGGTGGGGGGGTATTGGTTGTAGTACGTCCATGGGAAAATATGGGCTGTAGTAGGTGCCAGGGGATAGGGCACCCCAGCAGGTGCAGGCCATGCTGCCTCAGGCTGAAGCCGCATAAAGTATCAGAGTGTTGCCATGATCTTTTACACCTGCAGGAGATGCTATATTTGGGCTGACCGGTGATCTCCCCACTGGCCGGGAGTGTCAGAGCTCCTTGGGATTGCAGGGGAGATCATTTGATTTTCCCCTCCGGGCATTTGCCTTTTCAGTAGAGGCCTCCTCTGACGTGGCAGAGCCATTTGTCGAGTTGCCTGCAATTGCCAATAGCCAGCCCTGGGTTAAGCATTTAGCTGTTACATTCAAGTTCTGTGGCCTTTCTGCTTTGGGTTAGGTACATCCTTCATCGATTACCTTAAATGTCTCGTTGTAAAATTATGTTGATAATTCTGAGGTCGTTTGGTATTTACTTTATGTATTAGATGATTATTTGTGGTCACAAACATAAATTCTACCCATTCACGTTCATTGAAAACTTCTATTACTTTTCCATTTTGTAATCTATATTTTGATATTAGCCGTATGTGTCTACTCTGTTTGCAATAACTTAGTCTGTTTACCTTCTAGGTTCCTCTTTCTCTGTACGATGGACCTGCTCGTATACATTGGCTGTTTGCTCATCTTGTTTCTGCTCTGGATTAAAACAAAAGGATTAGAATATGTCCTTGTCCACCAGCGCTGGATTTTCGTTTGCCTCTTCTTGCTTCCCCTCTCTGTTGTGTTTGATTTGTATTACTACGTGCGAGCATGGCTGGTATTTAAAATGTGCAGTGCACCCAAACTCCATGATCGCCGGGTGAAGGATATCCAAGATCAGGTGAGATCTATAAAAACTTTCTAAAAAGTTGCATAATTTTTTAGTTCCTGCAGTTACACACAAATGTAAAGCAGCACCTGAAGATGACATTGGAGTGGTCCAATGATGCAGTTTAAGGTAGATAGATTTTCTTGAATCTGTCTGGGGGCACCACCATCTTATTTACTCAGCTCTTGACACTTCATCTGCCAGGAGTGGAACCAGTGCTGTACTCTCTTGTATGTGAGCAAACTAATCTATTTTAGTCTGAAGTCTTTACAGCGACCACAGGTGAGATAATTGTAAACTGTGCGGTTTATCAGAAACAGAGCTGTTCTCATCTGCAGGGCTAGCATCATTAAGATTAAATTATTTAACGTGGCCATTGAGCTTCATGTTCAAATACCTGAATATTTGTTAATCTTCCTCACAGTAGGACTCAACTACCCATACAATGTATTAAAGGAACACTATAGGGTCAGGAAAGCTCACCTTATTTCCAGTGCCACGCAGGTCTGTTTGCTCTGCCCCCAATCCACCTCCTTGGCTGACATCATTAGAATTGATGATTTCAGCCAATCAAAATGCTTTCCCACAGGATTGGATTGCCTTAGATCGTAATTTCTGATGTTCATCAACCAAGGAAGTGGGTTGGGGCGGAGCATAAGAAATAAATCATACTGGTATACAATAAAACAGTGGCAAATTCACAATGGTATGATACATAAATATACAAATAAACAAAGTTGTAAAACGCATCAGTAAATTCAGCAGAACATTGCATAACAGTTGTTTAACTCTTTATAACAGTGGTGTCCCACCAGGGTTTTTTATTTAAGATAAAACATATGAAAACTGACCGACCAAAGAAAGAGCATCCTCAGTTCCAGTGCTTAGGTCTTACGTACTTTGTAGCTCACATTGAGGATCACGGTATCAAGAATCTCGACCCTACATTGTAAGAACTAATATTGCAAGTCCACTTTTCTAGACCAAGGATCCTCACTTATTCACTGTGAATCAGTGCATCTCTATGGGCAAAGTTCAGCATCTCCATGCAGATTGTGGAGACGCTGAATGTCGGTGCTGCACCACATTATGCAGCACTGCCCCAGGAAGCCCCTCTAGTGGTTGTCTGAGGAGTGGCCACTAGAGATGTTCCTAGGCTGTAATGTAAACACTTTTTTTTTTCTCTGAAACGGCAGTGTTTACATTTAAAAAGCCTGCAGGTACAGGCTATAGACAACAGAACAGCCACATAGCTACATTAAGCTGTAGTTGTTCTGGTGACTATAGTGTCCCTTTAGAGAGAGAGAGAGAGTATGTGTGTGTGTGTGTGTGTATGTATATGTGTATATATATATGTATGTATGTATATATATAATTTTTTTTTTTTTCCAGGTCCCAACACTCAATGTTCCCGGTCTTTTCCATGCTCCGGTGCAAGTAATCTCTGACCAATATATATCATCCAAGTAGAGAGCACTCTGGAGTCTTTGTTTTATATCAAAATAAATACTGCTTTATTGTGCAGAATACAAAAATGTCGACGTTTCAGTCACAATAGACTTTTCTCAAGACTTGAGAGTGCTCTCTACTTGGAAAATATATATATATATATATATATATATATATATATCTCTATCTATCTATCTATCTATCTATCTATCTATATCTCTATCTATCTATCTATATCTCTATCTATCTATCTATCTATATCTCTATCTCTCTCTATATCCGAAGAATAATCCAAGATGCACTCTCAGGACTTGTGCAAAAAAAATTCTGTTTTATTTAAATCATGTGAAAAAGAAAAACCAACGTTTCGACCTCTGCAGGTCTTTTTCAACCTTGAAAAAGACCTGCAGAGGTCGAAACGTTGGTTTTTCTTTTTCACATGATTTAAATAAAACAGAATTTTTTTTGCACAAGTCCTGAGAGTGCATCTTGGATTATTCTTCGGATTTAATTGTCAATTACTTGAAAGCCAGACTGCCCTTTTAATTTATAAGAAAGTAATATGTAAAAATATATATAAATATTTTTACATATTACTTTCTTATAAATTAAAAGGGCATTCTGGCTTTCAAGTAATTGACAATTAAATCCTAAATCTAATGGCAGTTGATACAAAGGAGATGGGACATTGTCCTGCACTCTTGTTTCAGTTTTTATTAAACTACAATGGGTAGCCAACCTCTTTGTGGAGGAGAACAAGAACCGACATTATTAACAGTGGATTTGAAAAATTAGAGAGAAAAGAGAGAACTAAGAGCGATTGAACCAAGATGAAACAAGAGGAGGCGTTGGGCAGGTTCTTACTAAGGTAGTGTGTAAAAATGTATTGCTCTGCTTCTGGCTCCCACACCTCACTCACCCACATTATCAAGTGAAATACAGCAAGGTGACTAGAACTCATTCTGGGATTGAGCCATTCTAGGTATTCGTCCTTCATGCTTTCCGTATTACTCTGTTACTCATACAAAGCCTCATCTATGAGATTGGGAATGATCTAATCATAAGAGAGGCCTGTATGTTCGCAGTTAGAGCCTGATGATATCTATTGGAGGTGGACATATTCTGCTTACTAGTTATCAACACATTCTCCAGGTAAGATATGGAATGCCCTGCTGCCAGTTCTGTGCTTTAGGGGCACTCTAGGTATCTTAACAAGTAGAGCATATTGCAGTGGGTATAGTTCAGCTAGTTGTTGGGTGCTGTCCCCCATGTTTTGCTGGCCTGAAATTCTGCATTATGTCAAACACGTTATCAAATGCAAATCTGCACAACCTAATAATAGGCTGAGAGCAGTAGAAATAGTTTTGGGGAAAAAAACAGGAGACTGCTCAAAGACTTGTTACACTAAAACCACTACATATAAATAGTGTGTGTGTGAATATATATTGTGGGAGGGGTTATCCGGCTATTTAAACAGCCTACCTCCTCTCCTAGGTCGTAGCTGTTCAGATTGCTCCACCCCCTCCCATTTTTTCTGTTAATCATTACCTTGGTAGGTCCTCTTAATTTACAGGTCTACCCTACCGTCTGTTCCAGCAAACCACAACTGACTTGTTCATTTACCTCTTGGCTTTTGCCCTGATCATAAATAAATAAACCGTGTTTATCTTATTATTTAATGCTTTTTAAACATGATTAATACATGTCTTCATTGCTTTTGGCCTGTTTAATTGATGCATGGAACGGTGGATCTTTTTCCAGGTGCGTCAGTGGAAAGCAGAAGGGACTAAACGTTTTATGTGCACTGGAAGACCAGGTTGGCTAACAGTGTCCTTGCGCGTTGGGAAATACAAGACCACCCACAAGAACATAATGATCAATCTCATGGACATCCTGGAGGTGGACACAAAGAGGCAGGTAAGTACCATGGAATAAGGTGTCCGAACTAGATTCTCAGCTATGCCTCTATTTTGGCTACTTTGGCCTTAAATTTGACATTTTCACTCTATTTTACCTTTTTATTTCAAATCCATTTTGAATTCTCACCTTAGCGAAAAACCATGTATGTTATTCCTCAAAGTGTGGATTGTTGGGAATTCAAAATAGATTTCAAATTTTACGTAACAATTTCTTTAACTTATTCTACCTTCATTCCAGCTATTTCAGCCTGAAAATGTGAATTCACTTTGAGATCCCAGCAGTTCATACTTAAGTAAATAACACCTTTTAGATTATTTGTGGCTGAACTAGGTTAAGATCCGGTGTGGTTTGCTCTGCAGGACATAGCTGGTTTGAGCTGCAAATTCAATGGATTTGAGGATAAATTGCTTGTTCTGGCCAGGCAGGGTAGCTGAAGCATCTCTGCAGGGACTATTTGAAAAACATTACAGGCTGTGGTTTCTATGGCTGGACTGTATTTCAAAACGACCAAGGGAAGAAGTGGCACCTAGACAATGGTTATCATAGAGGAAAGGAAATATCAGAAATGGACTAGTGCTAACTCACATGGGAATTGGAAAGAGTCAAGGGTTGCGAAGTAGCATCCCAGACATTCAATCTATTCCTACCGAACACTTCCCCTTTCTCTCATCCTCCCCACCCCCTTTTTTTTTCTCTCTTCTTTTTCCTCAATATCTAGCAAGCACTCACACCAGACAAATGAACCCAATGCAGAGTGATAAATGTAGCTAACACAGAGACATAATAGAATGATATGACTATAGCTAGAACACCTTGGAAGTAGTTATCCTACTTGGGGAAAAATGGAAGACAGGAAAACAAAGACATGACGGTATTTGACGGGAAATACTGAACAGTTCGAGGATGAGGGACTCAATTGTAATCTTTATTTACTAAGAACTATGGTGACAAAAGAAAATGTATAGGTTGTATCTGAAACTGAGAGTATGAGGTACAGTATAATTAGAAACCTCTTTTGTTGCTCTTCCAAATTACAATTCTTGTTCTTGGCCCATGGAATAACTCAAAATGTCTTTGAATAAAGAATGTATTTAAAAAAAAAAATAAACTGCTTTCTGTAAAAGTTATACTTCTTTTTTTTTTTTTATTGGTAACCATCTAAAAATAAAATAGCATGTTAGCAGGGAAACCCCCTCAAAAACACAATTGCAACACTAGAGCCTAACACATTTCTTGAGGGGGTGGGGGGGAAAGCAGCTTGTTTGAATTCTTCTAAATAGTATGTTGATTTTATTGGTCACCCAGGTACTTCTATATTGATAGTTAAAGTAGACTATCATGCCTGGGGTTGGATTGCACGGTTTAAAAAAAATAAATAGAGATAAATCAGTGTAATTTAATTATAGGCATAACGATCTCTCCTTTTTAAGAACCTGTATTTCTTACCCTGCTAGGTTGTGCGTGTGGAACCATTAGTCAATATGGGTCAGGTGACTGCTTTACTCAATTCAATTGGCTGGACGCTTCCAGTTTTGCCAGAACTTGATGACTTAACTGTTGGTAAGAGAAATTTTTTTTTTATTTTAACAAAAGTGCTCCTGCATACCAGTTGCTCTCCCCACAAACATGTATCCCTGACCCTATAGTGTTAAAACCACCATCTAGCTCCCCTTGATCCTTCTTGCTTCCCTAAATATTGTAACATCTTACTTGTATTCATGTCTGCAGCTGCTGGCTCCGCCCCTGTCTGCCTCTGACCTGCCTCCTGTCTGCTGACCTCATCAGAAGTTGTGGTCTGAGCCAATCACAATGCTTCGCCATAGGATTGGCTGAGACTGTCAAGGAGGCAGATCAGGGGCAGAGCCAGCACAATTTAGACAGCCCTGGCCACATATCGCATAGAGATGAATTGAATCAATGCATTTCTATGAGGAAAGTTCAGTGTCTCCTTGCAAAGGGTGAAGACACTGAATAGCATCACTGTTCACTGTGCAGTACTGCCCCAGGAAGCACCTCTAGCAGCTATCACTTGGCTGTAATGTAAACACTGCAACTTCTCTAAAAAGACCGTGTTTAAAGCAAAAAGCCTGAAGGGATGGTTCTACTCACCAGATCAAATGCAATAAGCTGTAGTTGTTCTGGTAACTACAGGGAGTGCAGAATTATTAGGCAAGTTGTATTTTTGAGGATTAATTTTATTATTGAACAACAACCATGTTCTCAATGAACCCAAAAAAACTCATTAATATCAAAGCTGAATATTTTTGGAAGTAGTTTTTAGTTTGTTTTTAGTTTTAGCTATGTTAGGGGGATATCTGTGTGTGCAGGTGACTATTACTGTGCATAATTATTAGGCAACTTAACAAAAAACAAATATATACCCATTTCAATTATTTATTATTACCAGTGAAACCAATATAACATCTCAACATTCACAAATATACATTTCTGACATTCAAAAACAAAACAAAAACAAATCAGTGAACAATATAGCCACCTTTCTTTGCAAGGACACTCAAAAGCCTGCCATCCATGGATTCTGTCAGTGTTTTGATCTGTTCACCATCAACATTGCGTGCAGCAGCAACCACAGCCTCCCAGACACTGTTCAGAGAGGTGTACTGTTTTCCCTCCTTGTAAATCTCACATTTGATGATGGACCACAGGTTCTCAATGGGGTTCAGATCAGGTGAACAAGGAGGCCATGTCATTAGATTTTCTTCTTTTATACCCTTTCTTGCCAGCCACGCTGTGGAGTACTTGGACGCGTGTGATGGAGCATTGTCCTGCATGAAAATCATGTTTTTCTTGAAGGATGCAGACTTCTTCCTGTACTACTGCTTGAAGAAGGTGTCTTCCAGGTACTGGCAGTAGGACTGGGAGTTGAGCTTGACTCCATCCTCAACCCGAAAAGGCCCCACAAGCTCATCTTTGATGATACCAGCCCAAACCAGTACTCCACCTCCACCTTGCTGGCGTCTGAGTCGGACTGGAGCTCTCTGCCCTTTACCAATCCAGCCACGTGCCCATCCATCTGGCCCATCAAGACTTACTCTCATTTCATCAGTCCATAAAACCTTAGAAAAATCAGTCTTGAGATATTTCTTGGCCCAGTCTTGACGTTTCAGCTTGTGTGTCTTGTTCAGTGGTGGTCGTCTTTCAGCCTTTCTTACCTTGGCCATGTCTCAGAGTATTGCACACCTTGTGCTTTTGGGCACTCCAGTGATGTTGCAGCTCTGAAATATGGCCAAACTGGTGGCAAGTGGCATCGTGGCAGCTGCACGCTTGACTTTTCTCAGTTCATGGGCAGTTATTTCGCGCCTTGGTTTTTCCACACGCTTCTTGCGACCCTGTTGACTATTTTGAATGAAACGCTTGATTGTTCGATGATCACGCTTCAGAAGCTTTGCAATTTAAGAGTGCTGCATCCCTCTGCAAGATATCTCACTATTTTTGACTTTTCTGAGCCTGTCAAGTCCTTCTTTTGACCCATTTTGCCAAAGGAAAGGAAGTTGCCTAATAATTATGCACACCTGATATAGGGTGTTGATGTCATTAGACCACACCCCTTCTCATTACAGAGATGCACATCACCTAATATGCTTAATTGGTAGTAGGCTTTCGAGCCTATACAGCTTGGAGTAAGACAACATGCATAAAGAGGATGATGTGGTCAAAATACTCATTTGCCTAATAATTCTGCACTCCCTGTATGGTGTCCCTTTAATATGCTCATTTTGAAAAATTAACCAACTCTGCTACAGTCACAGCTTGCCTTTTTTTTGCCTACATTTTGCAGTTCAATAATGAATTCACTATAGTTAGATTAACCCTCCTTCTTCTTATTTTTTTTCCCATCCCCTTCTCCTCCCAAAAGCTTGCATGTTCACTAGCTTAAATGTCTTCTGACAAATATAGATTTATTCTACATTCTGTATAACTGTACTTCCATTTAGGATTTGGTTATTTGAAGTAAACTTTTGTTCTATAGGTGGTCTAATCATGGGAACAGGCATTGAATCCTCGTCCCATAACTTTGGTCTATTCCAGCATATCTGCTTGGCGTACGAGCTTGTCCTTGCTGATGGAAGCTTTGTGAGGTGTACCCCAGTAAGAATATTTTTAAATTTTCCAATTCACCCCCCGTTTTAATAAGTGTGGAAGAGGAATGATAAACTACTATGCCTATTAAATAAAGTATTTTTCAGACAGAAAATTCAGACCTTTTTTATGCTGTCCCATGGTCTTGTGGCACCCTCGGATTTCTGGTCGCTGCCGAAATAAAGATCGTTCCTGCTAAAAAGTACGTCAAACTACACTACACTCCAGTGAAAGGCTTGGACAAGATCTGTGAGAAGTTTTCCAGAGAGTCCAAGAACAAAGATAACTACTTTGTGGAGGGACTTGCTTACTCTGCCGATGAAGCCGTTATAATGACTGGTGTCCTAACTGATGATGCACAGCCTGAGAAGGTAAGGTAGATGTTTATTACTAAGCTTAAAGAGACACTGTAGACACTGTAACTGCTTCATCTTATTGAAGTTGTTATAGTGTCTGGAGCTTTTCTAAACCATTTTTAATGTTTTAATGCTAAATTAGAGTCCACAGCAGCCCATCCCACCCAGAATTGGCCTGGGCAGCAGTGATTAACTGAGGGTGTCAGCGGACTACTTTCAGCCAATGACAGCTCCCGTTTCTGGTACAAATTGGCATGACTAGAAGGAATTGTGTACTCTGTCTTAGCCACACCTCCAGTAGAGGCGGGCCTGGGTGTGGCCAGGGATACATATTTAGTACAAAAAACTCTTTTAAAATGGTTTAACACTGAATTAAGGGACCGTGCCAGTGGGCTGCATGGATTATAATCTAGTCACAGAGATGAAATGGTTAAAGTGCCTACAGTGTTTCTTTAATACTTTGTATTTTAGAGGGGCAATTTAAGAACTCTAACAACTATGCAATGGTTATGGTGAAAAACAATCATTGGTGTCTGTTCCACTGATTTGTGTTAAACTGTATTTGAGCACTTCCTGACACATAGAAACATAGAATGTGACGGCAGATAAGAACCATTCGGCCCATCTAGTCTGCCCAATTTTCTAAAAACTTTCATTAGTCCCTAGCCTTATCTTATAGTTAGGATAGCCTTATGCCTATCCCATGCATGCTTAAACTCCTTTACTGTGTTAACCTCTACCACTTCAGCTGGAAGGCTATTCCATGCATCCACTACCCTCTCAGTAAAGTAATAGACACGTCTGAATTCTCCCAGCACACAAATACAGGTCTCTCTCCTATCACTCTGCTAATGCACAAATGAATTAACTGGTCAGTCTGTCAATCGCTGGGAGGTAATTATAGGCTGAGTGCTGAGCATGGATTGGCCTTGAGTTTGACGGGAAAAATTTATCCTATCAAATTGTTCTGGAAACATTCTAAACCACAAAAATGAAACTGTCTTTAGAGCTCATAGCGTTGTTGTGACAGTTTGTTCCACAACAGGTGGAGTTGAAATATACAAAGACACACCCTCTCCTCCTGTTTCCTTCCCTCCTCTCCCCATGGCTATTTCTGTCTGTCTGTCTTTTTCTCCCTAGCCCTTTCTCTCTTTGACAATCTCGATTTTCTCAAAAGCTGTCCCATCACTCTCTATGTTTATCCTTGGTCTCTCCTCTCCGTAAACACTCTTTCCATGATTACTGTTACTTTATTTATCATTATGAGCCCCCTCCTGCTTTCTTATATATTTTTTTCCTTTGAGGGTTGTCGTCCTTGGTGGTTTAGCTGATAGATCTGCAAATAGGGAGAGACAGAGCTGTTGGGCATATAAGAAGTATATTACTGCACATCATTTCTTGATTGGCCTCAGTACATTATCTGCGAGCAGATATGGTGAAGACTGAGCAGGGGGGGAATGCTCTCCTTCCCGCACGCAGAACTGAGGAGACAGAGAAACCTAATCACTCCACTTCTGGAGACAAACCACATGTTTGATACTTCCTGTCATTCATTTGTTGGTGAGCCGAGTAGAAAATTTCTTGTTTCTCTTCATTTGCAGGTAAACAAGATTGGACATTATTGGAAGCCATGGTTTTTTCGTCATGTTGAGACTTACCTGAAGAAAAATCACGATGGAATAGAGTACATACCTTTGCGTCATTACTATCACAGGCACACAAAAAGTATCTTCTGGGAGCTGCAAGTAGGTCTAATTCATAAATCTAGTTTAGAAAAAGACCAGCCAGTAAACCTGTAAAGAGCTTCCATATCTGCTTTTGTCGTTCAGTATTTCCAGTGCAGTGGTCGCCATTTCCTTTCTTGCATTGTATCTCTACAGCATGCATGGATTAGATTCTGAAACCCAGTCACTCCAGCACCACATATTCCACTAAAACGAAAATATTTACTATGTGATGATACGTATAACAAGTTTTTCCTTACTGTCTAGTAGGTTTTTCACATAACTGCTTAATCTTAAAGGACCACTTAGCACCCATAAAGCCCTTCAGCTTGCTGACTTTATGGGTGAGAACTATCCGACTTTAACCCCAGTTTATAAAAGTGCAGATTTCTATGAGAAATTGACACTTTTATATTTCAGTTATGGATCACCCCCTGGATGTCACCCACTGCGCTAACAGAAGTGGCAAGTACACTCTACGCTACGTGACTGCCTCCTCTCCCTCAGACCAGCATCTTCAGTAACTCCAACACCTCCACAGACCCCAGTTCAGGCACGAACCAGCGCCCATGCTCACCGATTCAGATTATTAAATATTTTATTACATTTCCAGACTTTATATGATTATTTTAATATGTCTTCCTTTCTTTCAGGACATCATTCCTTTTGGCAATCACCCAGTCTTTCGTTACCTCTTTGGCTGGATGGTACCTCCAAAAATCTCATTATTAAAGCTCACCCAGGGAGAGACTATTCGAAAACTGTATGAACAACATCATGTGGTGCAGGACATGCTGGTCCCAATGAAATGTCTAAAGCAAGCGATCACGGTGTTCCACAATCAGATCAACGTAAGTTTGGAGATGAGCCTAGTCTTCTCATTTCGGTCTTCATGGGAGTCTGTTTGCATTATTTATGTGGTTTCATGGTTTCAGTTGTGTTTTTTTGTTTGTTTGTTTTTCGGTCTTCTTTCATGTGGTTTGAAAGCTAGTCTGTTCAAAATAAAAGCTCTATGCTGATTGTCTGCATTTTAGGCAATCAAAACACTGTAGATGTCTGGCAATGGCCTGGTAACTTAAAATACTCAGATTAACAAATAATGACCACCTGCCATCTCCTATAAAATGCAGGTTTTTGGAGCAACTGAAATAGTTATGCACCACAATTTTTATATACACTTCTTTGGACTTCTCCAAATGTACTCTGTAACATAATCAAAGTTAAAATTCTAACCATTGCAGACGGGATCATTTACTAAGGTGTGAATTGTTGGGAATACAAAGCCGAACTGGAAACATGGCTGATTTTGGCCTTAATAATAACATTCACTTTCAATTCCTAACAATTTACAATTTTATTAAATTAAATTTTTGGGTTCAACAACTGTTAACAAAATCAGCCAGACATACTTCTAAATCAAAGTAGGAATTGAAAACCATACCCAGAACATGCATTCTTTCATATGGGAATGTAGACAAAATATAGTCTCAGATCTTTCAAAAGTATCTCAGATAAAAATACAAGAATATAAGCATTACTGTGCATATAGGAATTGGACCTACCAGGTAATCAACCGTGATCCATTTTTAGTTACACATTGCTTTTAAAGGATTTAAAAAAATGTAGTAATTTTATGCCACATTGATTGTGATCTGACTTCTTCCTGAAGGTTTACCCACTTTGGCTGTGCCCCTTTATACTGCCAAGCAATCCTGGCATGGTGCACCCTAAAGGAAACGAGACAGAGCTGTACGTGGATATAGGGGCATATGGCGAACCACAAACTAAACATTTTGATGCTAAAGCTTCCATGCGACAACTGGAGAAGTTTGTCAGGGATGTCCATGGGTAAGATAAGTCACATGCTGGCACTTTACACGAACACAAATATTGTATTATGACTGGTGAGACGCAAATCTACATAGAAAGTAGATGTTATAAAACATAACAAACAAGCATTTTCTTCCAAACTGCACTACATTGTTGTGCACCACTCGTTGCTCTGCAGCAACTACATTGCTCATTATCCTAATACTAAATGTTACCCAAGCATCATGAGCGATGTAGTTCTACTACAATCGGCGTCATACTGATTGGTTACTGATGCTGCATACTATTACAATAAATGTAATCCATAAAACCATTTTCAAATGGTTTAACACTGAAGTAGCAGTCCCCTGGCGCTGTTCTGTTGCCTCTCCCCTTCGGCTCACGCCAATGTGGAATCATTGGTTTAAGCAATAAAGGGCTGGCACTGAAAGACTCTGAGCCTGGCCGCCCATTGCGAGTAAAATGTAAACGTGTACATTTATCATTTGTATTTGTTTCACAATGGTTTCTCTGGTGTCTCTCTCTGATTGGGTCCCCATTTTGAGACATAATGTATGACCCTTTTGTTTTATTTAAATGGAATCTATCATCGAAGGTATGCGGAAATGTAATCCCAACACCCATACTGTTGCTGATACTCTGCATAATTTCCAATAAAAATGTTTGGATAACACAAAATAAAGATAGATGTTTACACTTGATTTGCAGTCAGTGATAAGCTGAGAATGTCAACTAACGGCCTGTCACTGCGTTTCCTTCCTTTCTCTGCTCAAGCTAATACTTCTGCATTAGGCCGAGCACAGAAGGAGAGGAGGCAGACTAGTGCATGGGATCTACTACTTCACTTCATTGTTATATTTCTTTTTTTATTGTAAAAAGTAACAAAACAATAATCAGACTCTGTGCAGAATTCTAAGGAGCCAGGTGAGGCATAGTGCACACAACACATCAGCTGAACTAGGAAGGAGGCTTTCATTGACTTCTCCAAACTCTGGCCCTCCAGGTGTTGTTTAACCACACCTCCCATGGTTCTCTGGCTTTTTATTTTATTCAGAGAGTTGTAGCAACATCTGGAGGGCCAGAGTTTGGTTAACTCTGATCTAGTGAATTCAGTATCTAACTCACCTCACAAATAAGGTGGTTTAATGCCAGAAACCAAGAAAGTATGTTACATGGAAAAAGTTAGAATATGAAGAGAGGGAGAAAATATGAAACTTAATATAAATATATATAATTTATTTAAAAAAAAAAAAAAATTGAAGAAAATTGGGTGGGGTGGCTGAGGTAGACTGACCAGTAGTTGTAGCCGGGGCAGACAGCCTACTAGTTGCAGCTTTTATGAAGTATTTGCTTTACAAGATATTAAATCTAGCGACTGCTTCTAGGTAATTGCATGTTTATCAGAAGTGCTGGCGAATGAAGCCATTAATATTTCCATAGCATTGATCTCCACCAGTCTTGCTATTCACTGCCTAATGGGGGCCACAAATGGCTGATTGCAAAGGGAAGAAATCCAGGACTTGGCAGCAGTCAAGTGGTGGTTTGTTAAAGACTTAAATTGGCATGCTGGAACAGTGCCAGAGCATTGCAGCAGGTTAGAAAGGGGTTTCCTACCCAGCAATCTCAGACAGTGTATTGTTTGAAGCCCTCCAATAGGGAACCTGCACTGGGCTCTGACATTATTTTATGACTGGTTTAGATATTTTAGGTTGTGTTATTAAAAAAACATAACATTCTATTTGGTGATCCAGATCACTTTTCATTTCACCTGATCAGCCTTTCTTTCTTGCCTCAAATCAGGTTCCAGATGCTGTATGCCGATTGTTATATGAGTCAGGAGGAATTCTGGGAAATGTTTGATGGATCATTGTATTGGAAGCTGCGAGAGAAATTAAATTGCAATGATGCTTTCCCTGAGGTTTATAATAAAATCTGCAAATCGGCACGGCACTGATGGAACAAATACAGAAAAAGGATAAATCGGACACTTTATTTTACACTTTGTTACATCCGAGAACTGAAGCTTTTATAATAAATGTAATTTTTTATTTTTTTTTGAGCTACAAGCAAAACAAAGAGATCTGATTAACTAGTCCTGCCTGGTCTCTGCTGAACTTAGTCAACTAGTTTTGCTTTGACTGATCTGGATTTGGTCAGCAAGTCTTGTGGTTCTGTTATGCCTCTTCTGGATCTGGTCAGAAGATATGTTTGGACAAAGGAAGTCTTTGGTCATATATATGTATTTAATGTAAATATGAGATCTCACAATTATTGGAAGCTCCAATGTATTCTGACTTAAAAGGACTAACATGGCAAGAAGAAAAAAAAAATCCCTGCAAACCATTTTAATTTGACCTTTTTATTGACATTTTGTACCAAATAAATGCTTTGTAACTGTGTTTAAAAAGAGTTTGTATATGAAGTAAGAATACACAGCACAGTTAACAGGCTGAACGATCTGTGAACGATCTATCCACCTGGTTAGTGAAAGCTGAATAGGATTGAGTTAGGAATTTGAGAAAGCAAAGTTTTTTTTGTTTTTTAATAATTTTTTTTTAATTGGTCCGTGTAAGTCTTTCTGCCTACAGCTTGACCTCTGCCCTGGTGAGCTCTCTTTTTGTGCTGCCAATAGTCTGCCATGCCATGCTCTACTGTCATCCCTTTTTGACCCAGTTCTGCCATGCTACATTCTTCTACTTTGATGACAATTCACACACTTTTAAATTTTTTTTATTTAAACATTGGCCACATTTCTTTGAGTAACTTCAGTTTGAAGTTGTAGTAACCATTTTTTGCCAATGGCTCTGCATTTTATATTACACTTTTGTGTATTATAAAGATCTTTCAATAATGCGTTGGAACTTAATTCACCTGTATTGAGTCAATGCAACATCATATGCCAGACCTCCCTTAAACATTTCTTGACTCTTTTATGTTTTTTTTTTTTAATAAGTTCTCTATTTATTTAATCCACGAGTGGTTATGTCAACTACATATAAAATAGCATGGATTACACAAATACATTCTGCAGTAGAACCAATCTATCATTATGAGCAAAGCATGTAGAATGAGGTTCAATAGGATAAGATAATAAAAACACAAACTAAAGTAAAATTAAAGACAAACTACCATTTCCGTTACAAACAGTAGGAGTAGGTGATAAACGAAGTGTGCTATACCCCTGTAGGAATTCTCCACCGTTCCGGTGCAGCAATATTATCGTCAGGTTAACTGTCCGGTAACCGGTGAGGAGGGGGAGGAATGGATTGGAAATATTAAACTCAATACTGCATTTTAACAGCCTAAAGGTGTAAATACTTGAAGAATGAACATAATGCTTTTCCGCTGGTGCTAAAACCGTATTAGAAAAGGAGCTAAAAGAAAATGGAGCAGAAGCCAATTAGCCTTAAATATCACATAATTGAACTGCGGCTTTTGGTGGTGGAACTTGGCAGTCCTCAGGAAGACAAGAGAGTCTTGACTTCAGGTTACAGCTGTTTAGGTCGTTTCTCTTGTAGGTGCTAGGTGCTGAATTGTGCGGGGAGTGAACTCTGCAATAGTGGAAGGCTACAACTGTGATAGATCCCAGCCATTTGCACTCAGGGGCTCTACAAGGCCTAACTTGTGTAGATGTAGTATTTCTAGATCGAAGGAGTTGTAAGAGTGGCTGCAGGGCTCTTTGCCACATGATAGGGCTTTTGGTGAGGCCTGGGAACAGTGACAGAGTGGAGCTCTCAAACAGTAAGGCCCCAGGCAGCTGCAAAGTGAAGGACCTTATCCTGAAGCAATTGAAAATGGACAATTAGGTCTGCTTGCGCTGCTGTTGAATGCTGTCGCCGGCTTTGGTAATCGAAACATCCCGTTGAGCTTCACCACTTTAGCTTGTTTAGGCAACAACAGGGTGTTTAGTAGGTGTCGGACAATATGAGGTAAGAGAGGCCTATATAATCCTGAATACCTTGAATCTTTAGAATATAATGCCTCTGCTGATTCTCTATAGCATGGTGCCATTGGTGGCCTGTTGTTTTTGGATCACGGCAAGTTTGTGCTCCATGGTAGTTATCCTGGAGTCTTGGATGCTCTCTGTAGCCTCCAGAAGGGTGATCTGAAAAGTAGTGCCGTCAATGGCATCCTTGAAGTAGGCCATAGCCATGGATATTTGCTTGAAGTTCCCCCACCATATTTTTTTTAACTGTACTGCCAAGACTGGCTTCCCTATATTGGGTTACTTGTGTTTGTGTCCTGTCAGCAATGCATGGTCGAAAGATATATCTTCTGAGGAGTATGAGGATTCTTCATCTCCCCTCACCATCTTGTGCCATGCAGACTTTTGTGAGCCCCACAGGAGGTCGCCGATACATCAGGTGGTTGGACTTGGTCAGCCTTTGTTAACTTCCTGAGACTAGTGAAGGGTTTGGCAAGCGGGTGGTTGCCTGTTTTCCACTCTAAAACTGCAATTTTAAAGGATCAAGGCACATAGCCCAAAAGAGAGGGTCTGCTCTGACCCTATGCTTTCCCTCCCCCCCTCCATTTCTTAAATCTTTTAACATTTCTTTGACTTTTTTTTAATAAATGTAAAAAAGTTTAGAAAAGTACTCTAAAATATAACTCATTTTAACACGCACAAATCAGTGTTCCACTAGTGAAATGAACCGGAACAAGAGAAAACAAGAAATCAATCGGCTTACAAATCCTTGAGATCACAGGAACAAGTACAAATAGCTGAATTTAATCTGTCAAATAAAATATCACACGTAGTAACAATTGTTGCCAGTGGAGGGAGACAACATATCATTGAGCAGTATATAGTGTTCTGCTTATGGTAAAGGAAATGGCACCACTGTGACGGTCAAATGAAACCTATCACCAATGCAATACATTTAACTAAAAAGGAAACGAGTTCAGAGGTCAATAACCTTTAAATTGCCCTGATAGAAAAAAAATAGGACTGCCAGGGAGACAAGGATAGAAGGGGAGTGAAGAGAGACGTCGCTGAAACAGAGGGAATCAAATTAGCTTAGACCAGGAAAATTTGATAAAATACATCTCTAACTAAAGAATATCACATTTGTCACTAGCACTTGACTGTTCAACAAGGTGTAAGAGACACCTAAAAAAACAGGTATTTAAATATTCTGCTTTAGAGTATGATAGGCTGCGACTATATACTAAGGAAATACATGGGACCAAGGATGACCAATCATATCTGATAGGGGCTCACTGACGGAGAGAGCTAGCATCTGTGCGGATAAAGTTTTAAGACCTATGATGGAGAAATCCCTTCTATATTAATATTAGGGACATTCTCCTGAACCTGGAAAATATCAATGTCCCTCCTTATTCAGTCATTTCCAGTTTGGATGTGGTTTCACACTATAACATTCCCCTTAGTTTGGGTCTGGAAGCCTGCAATTGTTTTTTGATACAAAATAAATGGTTCAATCCTAACCAATTTATGCTGGCAATTCTAAATTTCATTTTGACCCACAACTTATTTTTTTCCTTTTTTCTAATGGGAGTATCTACCTACAGACGAGGGACAGCTATAGAAAAATGCAGTGCCTTTATACAATTTGTACCTGGCACGATGAGAGGCAACTTGTGTGTTTATTCCCTATTTGCAAAAAATAACTCTCAACATCATAATGTCATTAATGAATCAGTACCACAACATTGTGTTGTGGACCTGACCAATATCCTTATTTTATCATGGAACATTTGAACGACAACTCTATAGGACTTAAATTAACCTCGGTAGTATATGAGAAGGAACTAGTGTTTCTAGATCTGATGATCTCTCTAGATGAAGCAATTTCTGTAAATAAAGATGAGTCAATTTCCATCCAGTATCCTTAAGGGGTCCCATAATGGTGAATTAGGCATGTCCCCCCTACATTTTTTGTCTTCTGTAAATAATTTATAAATATTTAAATTCATGCATCCATTTACAAAAGACTAAGAAAGAATAAAAATGTAATTGAAATATATATATTTTGATGATTTATTTTCCCCTTTTATTTGCAATTCTTCATTTTTTATTTCCACAACTGAGTTCTAACTTCTTGTCTATCACCTACTCATATATAAGACCTAACTTCTATTTTTCATGACAAGGTAAGCAGAAGAAAAAAAACTTGAAGAAACTGGTGAAGAAAGGACAATAAATAAATAAATAAAAACAGGTTCACCAAGCAGATTTTATGCATTAAAAAATAGCCTACTGGGACACTGAAATGGTAAGTGGAATACTTGCACTAGCTCTGGAATTTATGGACGATTAGCAATTTGAACACTATGGCTTTTTTCTGTCAATATAAAATTAAAGTTTGCACACAAAGCCTCACATCTGCCCCTCTACCATCATGGCTATATCCTACAGGAAAAAAAAAGTATATTGGGCGTGGCCTGGATGCCGACGGAGATGGCCGCCTAACAGAGGAGCTCCGTCCCGCTCAGCAATTAAACAGCGCACATACGGCAGCATAACCTACCCGATGGGCCACAATAAAGGTGCCACTCTCACCCGACAGAGAAAGGACCCCAGCAGTCACAGCAAACTGGTACGCTGGACGGGTACCTAAGAACGCCGACCAGACAGCCACACGCTGCACCGGGATCCAAGATGGCCGACGGCCGAGCTCCAGCACAGGTACCTGACGCACAGGAACCCTCCCTAGCAGATATCAGGGCAGTGATAAGATCAGAGGTAGCCACACTGCAGAGGGACCTCACAGCCCAAGATGGCCGCATACAGACCCTGGAAGGTGCACAGCAAACAGCTGCGACCAGAATAGAGGCCACAAACGCAGCAGTAGCTAGACAGGGGGCAATGCTGCTGCAAATAAGAAGACAAACAGAAGACCTGGACAATAGGGGGCGCAGATCCAACATAAGGATCTGCAACGTACCTGAAGCCCCTGGGGAAGAAGATGTTGGAGCCATGCTGACAGACCTATTCAGGGAAATCCTGGGCCCAGATGCCCCGCAGCTCTTCGACTTCGACAGAGCACACAGGGCTCTGAGACCCCGTACTACAGAAAACCCACCAAGGGACATTATATGCTGCCTACACAAATACAGGATAAAAGAACTTATAATGAACAAGGCTAGAACCAAAAAAACTTGTCAGTTCCGGGGAGCGGACGTATCCCTGTTCCAAGACCTATCACCCCTCACACTAGAGGCCCGAAGAGCCCTGAGGCCAGTGACGCAGCTACTGAGAAGCCGAAATATACCATATAAATGGGGCTTCCCCTTTTTGCCTGACCGCTAAACATGGCAATGAATGGAAGTCCCTAGGCTGGCCAGAAGAAGTATCCACATTCCTACTAACCATGGGTCTGCCTCACACTGAAGTATTAGACTGGGTCCTGGGCCCGCTAGAGCAGAGAAACAACCAAATGGCACCTAGAGCACCCAGACGCCGCAGAGAAGATTCGCTGCAAGAACGCCAAGCATGCAGATACCAACAGCCAGCGCAACAACAAGCACACCCCGGAGCGGAATAGGCCTCAGAACAGGAGATGGACCCCATGGCACGAACCAGCAGAGGTATAAAGTTTCCCGCAGCAGACAACAGATGAACTTCAAGACCAAGGACACACAGATAAGTACAATACACACTTAGACTTAGACACCCAATGACAGTGACAATGACATATGATCCCGGGACACAGGATGCATATAGTACCTCCTAGACTCAAGGCGACATAAGCACCACCCCCCACCTTACAAGTAGAGACATTGGATCACTACCCTCACCGAGAGATTTCGCTTCCTGATCAACCACAGGGAACGACAGCAGGTTGGAGGGTACAGGGGAGATGGGAAGGAGAAAGGAGGGTATGAGAGACAGATGGGAAAGGAGGGTATGAGAGACAGATGCCTACCATATGGAATAAGTGGCTGAAAGTCAATCGTACAATACAGCGGGAGAAGGGAAGGAGGGAGAAGAGACCTAGATGGGAGTGATGGGGATGTCATGGGAAGAGGAGAAGGTATAGTGTTATAATATGATAATAATGATTGTTTGGTAATTGAGGGGTGGGGGGTACCATATACCATACCATATGCGTAGCCCCACCAAGCTGTTGCCCAACCCCGGCATAAAGTGACACATAGAGACTGGTCAACTGCCAGTAGGCAGAAACAGACGACCCAAGGAAAACAAACACGCAAGACAGCTTCAAGTCCCCTATGGCACTCATGTCCCCACCCTGGAACGGCACAGCCAGCGTTAAAGGGGACAACCATGCACATAGTCACTACATTCCATGCCCTACTGGACTCACACCACTCACAAGCCAAACCATCAGCACACACACCACGTAAGACGACGAACTGATACAAAGGGAGACGATACCTCACTAAAGACACTCAATAGCAGACTAGCTAGACATCTATTCACAAATGGCGAGCCAGACAACTGCCCCCACTGACAAGGTTATATCTCAGACAACAAAACGAAATAGCATGAGTGCATCTATCAAACGATAATTATAGCGAGAACGCAGACCCACGGGACACAAATAATTTACCACACAATACCCCAATCGACATAACGGGAGAGATACACCCCGAAAGGCACAGGCCACCACCCGACACACAATCCGTGCAGAATACCAACTGGGAGACCAATGCCGACGCCTAGCCGGGAGAAGTCAACGGCGATACGGCAATGATTATCTACCCAGACACACGGAGCTACCCTATACCAGAGTACCACAAAGCCCCTAACACCCCCGATCGACCTCACGAAACAAATGCAGATCGGGGACACACACAGCTTCCAACACAACCTACCACCCACACCTAGTTGCACCACTTACACACACAACTACACACTACTCCTAAACCCACTGCTCCCCCCCAGCCCAATCCCCCCTCCCTTACTGTCCCAAGTAGCCACCCTCAGAGCGGCGCTCGGGCCCGCACGCTGGATGTGAAAACCGCTGCCATCACGGACAAAGAGGCGGACTCACTGAACAGCACCCACATGGAGATCCCGGGATATAGCAAAATGGCGTACACACCGACACCCCTAGTGATTCGAACACAAAACTGCAGGGGCCTCAACACCCCGGATAAAAGATCACACCTCCTTCGCAACCTCAAGCAGCAACATGTATCAGTCGCCCTCCTACAGGAAACACACCTCAGACCAGAAACTAACAAGTTGCTACAGGACAAAAGCTACCAAATAAACTTTTATAGCAACCACACATCGGCCCGCAAAGCAGGGACGGCAATATTACTGGCATCTCACTTACAGTTCACCCTTATGGACAAGATGGAGAAATAGCACGGAAAATATACACGTTCGCTATGGTCTAGACTCCAAACAGTGGACAAGCCAGCTTCCTTAGAAGAACAATGGCGAAGCTATCTCGATTCACGGAAGGAACCCTCATATTTGGAGGGGACCTCAATGTACCCCTGGACCCTTGAACAGATACCACCACGGGAAGCAGCAGTGTCCCAGACTCCACAATTAAAACCATACGTAAAGCTCTTAGACACATAAGGCTGGTAGACACCTGGAGAGCACTGCAGCCAGAGGGAAGGGACTACACCTATTACTCCATGCTACATCATAAGTACAACAGAATTGACTATATATTCGTGCAACAAGAGGGGCTCACATACCTCCAGAGGGCTGACATCCTCACCACGACGTGGTCGGACCACAGCGCGGTGCAAGTGTCTATGACATCACCATTGTTCAGACCGACAAGAACCTCATGGAGGCTGAGTGACTCCTTACTGATAGATGCGGCAATACAGGCATAGGTGGTGGAACACCTTAATCAACACTTTGCCGAGAATGTCACAGAAGGGGTATCAGACATGACGGTATGGAAAGCTCATCCGAATAGCCACCCAAAGGAAGAAAGAAACTAGCCACCAGATCATAGTCCTCACACAGGAGATCAGCGATCTGGAATTAACTCACAAACGCGATCAACAGGAGCAGACCTACAGAGACCTAATGTCCACCAGAAGACAATTGGCAGAGCTCCTTGAACACAAACACGCCAGAACTATACAGCGATCGCGTGCATTCTTCTACAGGCACCCCAATAAAGGGGGCAAACTCCTTGCATGGATGCTGAGAGGCACACAAAATAGGGCACAAGTCCACACCATCCGAACAGCGCAGGGTAAAACAACGCAGTTCCCAAAGGAAATCGCAGACGAATTTGAGAAGTTCTACACAAAACTATACAACACACACAAAGGAAACGACGGACATGATAGAATACCTGACCAACTTACAACAAAACACCCTCACACCGGTTGAAGCAGAGGAATGAGATTCTCCTATCACTGAGGGGGAAATACAACAGGCACTAAAAACAGCAAAAACGGGCAGAGCCCCGGGACCAGACGGCTTCCCGGTGGAATACCTCAAGAAATTCGGACACATACTAATACCGTACCTGACCAAGGCGCTCAACAGCATAAGAGACGGACACTCCTTCCATAGGGAGGCACTGGCAGCTACCATCACAGTGATCCCCAAACCAGGAAAAAACACAGAACAAGTCGGTAACTACCGCCCAATATCGCTCCTTAACACGGACATCAAACTCTTCTCCAAAATCCTGGCGATGAGATTACAAACCCATATGGCACGATAAGTACACCTAGACCAGACAGGCTTCATACCAGGACGTGAAGCAAGAGACTGCACCCTACGACTGTTTGCCATACAACATCTGGCCAAACAAACGGAGGAGAGACTGCTGTTACTCTCCACAGATGCAGAGAAAGCTTTTGATAGGGTGGACTGGAGCTTCATGACGGAAACACTATGATTGACAGGTATGGGCATGGGTATGCTTACATGGATCACGGCACTTTACAGTCAACCGACCGCCAGAGTCAGGGTGAATGGTGCACTTACAGACGGTTTCGACATCAAAAACGGCAAGAGACAGGGGTGCCCACGGTCACCCCTGGTATTCTCCCTCACCCTAGAACCTTTATTAGAAAGCATCAGGAGAAACGAGAAGCTAACGGGACTGAGACATAGAGAACAGGAACACAAAGTCGCCGCATACGCTGATGATATGATGTTTTTTCTCAAAAATCCACTAAACTCAATTACACCACTAATGGAAGAATTCGAAAACTATTGCCGGATGTCCGGATTGAAACTGAACCTGACCAAATGTGAAATTCTCAACGTCACGGTCCCGGATAACGAATGTGAGCAACTAAAGCGGAAGTTCCCATTCCACTGGTGCACAGACAGAATGAGATACCTCGGACTGTGGATAACACATACAACAAAGGACATCTATACCCACAACCACGCTCCACTCCTGACACACATCATAGAAGACTTCAAAAGATGGAATTACCCCCACATAACCTGGATCAGGAGAATAGCAGTCTTAAAGATGAACATCTTACCACGGATATTATACCTCGTACACACAGCACCACACACAATCCCGCACATATTCTTTACGGCACTCAAAACAGTACAATATGTCTGGAAGGGAGAAAGAGCACGTATCAGCTACGACAAACTCTGCCTCCCGAGGGGTTGGGGTGGGCTGGCTCTACCTGACATCAAATGATATCATCAGGCAACGGTATTACAGAGACTCAAAGAACTACACACGGACACGCCACACAAACGATGGGTCCAGCTTTGGAGGGACGCCCTGACGCTGCTGGGGGAAGACTCTCCCCCTCACGCACACCCTGACGCACTGGTCCACAATAAGAAAGGAGCAGCAGATCTCGTCTAAACCCAGTCCCCTGATACCCATCACGTACAACCCAAACCTGGGAGACAGCCTTCCACCGAATGCCTGGCCAATAGACGACTGAGATGGATACATACCAATACACACAGTCCTGAACAATACAGGAGTCCAACCATTAAGTGTAATTTCGGGCGAAGAATCGCCCACGCTAATGCACCAATTCCACTGCATCCACCTTAACCACTACTATCACAACCTACCACACAGAGGCAAGATACACAGAGAACTAACATGGTATGAAAACCTATGCACACAGCCACCAGAGGTGGAGGGTAGGGTTTCCACATTATATCAAAACCTACTGACGTCAAACCGTACTAACAACACCTTATACAAAAGACAATGGGAGGACTGGACAGAGGAGACCTTCACGGACGACCAATGGGGGAAGATACTAACTCTACAACACAAAAGCGCCTTCAGCTCCCACTACCAGGAAGTAAATTATAAGCTATTGACAAGGTATCGTACACCGTCTCTGATCAACCGATACAACCTGACAATTCCGAACACTGGGACAGGGGCGGGGCAAATGTGGGGGGGGCGGGCCCGTGCACACCGAGGGAGATAGCAGACTCAATCCCCCCACCTTGCCCCAACCCGTTCCAACTTCCCTATATAACCCAGGGCAAACACGAAGAGAGAGCTTCATTGCACACAACCGCAATGAAGGTTGAAACCGCAGGGAGCTCACCTGACGGAACTGAAAGCGGAACAGGAGTAAAGAGCAAACGGATACCAACCCCCTAAAACTGAGAAAACAGATAAACACGCAAGGGGACATATAAAGAAACAACAAAAGTAGACATCACACACAGAGAGAATGACGGAGGCACAATATAGTTGCAAACACCCACAAACACGTACTAACTTACACGCAGGGACACGAACACAACAGGCAAAACCGGACAAGATAACTCACACAGGAAACGCAATAACAGCTAATGACTACGAGGCGGACGACTAATAGAGTGGGGACGTTACCTCACGTCACGACACCGCCCACACACAACAACAAACTACCAGACACCCATAGACGATAACTGATCAGACTAACAGCTAAGAAGAACACAGGGAGACTGAGGTGAGGAGATAGACACACAAGAATGTAATAGAGCAATTACTCCGGGGAATATCAAACCCCTAATATAAAAGAGAGGCCACTGGACACACGAGTATAGTCACGCAAACCCTACACCACAACAGAAAAAATGCACATCACAGATAGCAAAAAGGGAAGGTTGTAAGACATGGGCACGAGAGAACACATACCAGACGAGACAGGAGGCCCGCGAGCCAAAATACAGCACTGAAAACCATGGAGCCTGCGAGCTCACACAGGTACATATGGTATGTGGTATATATGATAGAGACCTGTGAGTCTCCATGCACACCATCTGATCCCCATGCATAAATCTTTGTATGATACAACAATTGCTCAAAATAAACCTAAAAGGGAAAAAGAAAAATGGTGAGCCTGCGAGCACACACAGATGCATATGCATATGGTATATATCTGCATAAGTCTGTGTATGATACAACAACCGTTCAATAAAAAAAATCATATTTAAAAAAAAAAAAAAAAAAAAGTATATTTTCTGCTAGGGTTCCATTCTGTTACTCTGCATCTCTTCAGAGGAATTGTTGATGGCAGCTTTGTATGTCAAACTGCATGGCTGCACTCTAGCAGCCTGTGAGTGGGATCTGGGATGTCTATAGCTCACTATAGGTATTTTCACAGGCTGCAATTTTAGCCTGCAATGTTCTGTGTATAGGAATCATGATCACATACAGACAGTATTTTTACTATTTGGCAGCATTTTTCAGAAGCTGCGTTTTCTAAATGATCCGTTTTCATCCAATAAGCAGGATATATAACCATTAATATCAAGTTACCACATTTACCTGTCTAAAATATTGCACGATACCATACAATCTGTAAAGCATTTCCATTAAATAATTTTATAAAGGATGAATACATGAAAATAATTGAGTACATTTATTTTTAAAACCTTTTTTTATTTTTAAAAAAATTTTTTTTAGGTATCTATTAACTGCAATCTCAGGTTTTCTGTATAATCCTATACTTATGTATTAGTTGTTTATCACCTTTCAAGTAAATACAATGCTAAAAAAACCAAAATCATAAGTAAAATCTTTCCAAATAAGCCAGGGGTAAATACCACGACTGTGAATTTGTAAATGACCTTTTCAAGATGTATAAATATATGTAGGGCTCATATAAGATATGTATATGAAAGTTTCTGTGTGTGAGATCGGTTTACATTTTTTTTTTTTTAAGTTGTGGAGGAATCATATGAGGGGAAGAGACTGGAAAACGGCAGTAATCGAATAGCGAGTCCCTACAAGGGGTATAATGAGAAGGAAAATGCAAAGAGTGGGACTCAGATGAATCCTAGTGTGATATCACCACACTTTCCCATCTTATAAGGAACTGGTGCAGAAACTGCAGAGAGGGGGATGAATACTTGGAAGAAGCAGGGCTCGAGTCCTGCAGGAACGCCGTTCCCTTTGCTCCTGCAGGACCAGGGCAGATGCCTCTTGAGCCCAGCCAGTGCTCCTCCTGAGCAGAGCATTCACTATGCAAGCGAGCAGCATTGCATAGTGAAGGAGTCAGGACTCAGGAGAGGAGGACTTACTTCCAGGTTGCTACTCCTCCGACCTCCCCTGCCCTTTGCATACGCGGCTACGTGGGAGTGTCGTGACATCACGTGGAGGCGGAGTCACGTGTCGTGTCGGCAACGCTAGGGTGAGACCGTGACGGTGAGAAGGAGGGAGAAAAAAGGTCACACAGTCTCCCACACTCCTTCTGCCCGGCCAAGCCAGCCTGCACCCCTGAGGCCAAGCCAGCACTGAGTCTTCAGAACTGTAAGTACATTTTATAAGGAGAGCATTTACTTGTTTGATGGAGGCTGGGTGGTTGGGGGGGGTGGATGAGATGGGGGCTGGGTGGTTGAAGAGGGGGGCTGGGTGGTTGGAGAGGGGGAGTAGGGTGGATGGAGATGGGGGTTGGGTGGTTGAAGAAGGGGGCCTGAGTAGTTGAAGAGGGAGGGCTGGATGGTTGGAGGCGGGAGGGTTGGGTGGTTGGAGGCGGGAGGGTGGATGGAGATGGGGGTGGGTGATTGAAGAGAGGGGGGCTGGGAGGTGGAGAGAGGGGGAGGGTGGATGGAGATGGGGGCTGGGTGGTTGGAGGGGGGGTGGTTGGAGAAGGGTGGATGGAGAAGGGGGAAGGGTGAATGGAGAGGGGGGGAGGGTGGATGGAGGCTAGTGTAAAAATAAATCAAATAACCCTAATATCACCACATTTGTTTAACCCCTTAAGGACGGCAGGCGTTCTATGCTGTCCTTAGGGAACCGGCTCTAAATGCCTGAAGGCGGTATAGAACGCCCAAACCATCCTTTCTACTTACCCGGTCGTCAGCGATCGCGGTATGGGGACTTACCTGGAAGTCCCCCTCCATCCTCTTCGTCCCCCCTGGGCCATGTGATGATGTGCAAAGTGTGTCGTGAGGTTAAACACCTTGGAGTGTCTGTTTCACAGGGTGTATCCATTTCTAAAGAATGGAGCACTGGTACAATTACACCATATGGCAAAACAAAAAAAGATATGTTGACCTCACTACGTAAAAAAATCCACATACATAAGATTTCAGAAGCACATGTAAAGGCAGGAGATATCCAAGCAGTATCCAGAAAGGAGATTCTGCAATCCAATATTGCTGAACAGCAGAAGCATAAGTTTGCGTCCACTACTAAGGTATTTCGCACTGCCTACTTTTGTGCAAAAAAAAATCGCCCTTTCACAGACTTCAGAGATCTTATCAGCTTGCAGGTTGCAAATGGAGCTGACCTAGGATGTATTCTCCATAGTGAGTACACAGCAGCACAAATAATAGATTGCATTGCTAGTGAAATGAGAAAAAAGCTTTGCAAAGCAATTGTTGAGCAGGCTCCAAAAATTTCTGTTTATATTGATGAGTCTACAACAGTTTCTACCCATTCAGTGTTAATAGTTTATATTCGTGCCTCTGTTAACGGAAAAGACCCAGTCCCTTTCTTTCTCGATTTGCTTGATTTGCCTAAAGCAGATGAACAGTCTATTGAAGCCACTCTTCTAGCTTGTCTTTCTAAATTTGGGTTCAGTAATGACTTTCTTGCTGAGAACTGGATTGGGGTTTGCAGTGATGGTGCAAGTGTAATGCTTGGAAGAAAGTCTGGTGTCCTGGAACTAAAAATATCCAAAGATTGTGAAATGGCACTGCTTGTGTCATGGGCTTGAATTGTGCATTTCCGATACAATTGATTCTATTCCTGATCTTCATCATGTAACATCATTTTTTGAGAAGTTGTATGCTGTGTGTCATCAGTCACCAATAATCTGGCAGAGCTCTCAGAATGTGCCAAAGAATTAGAAGTACAAATTCTTAAAATTGGAAAAGTTTTTTCAGTTAGATGGGTTGCTTCAAGCCAGAGAGCTATACGAGCAGTTTGGGAGTCATATCCTGCCCCACATAGTCATTTCTTGAAAGCCATCTTAAGTTCAGCTAATAACAGTAAGCAGAAATCTGTATCTAGTGGCCTTAACAAGGTCTTGACATCAGAAGATTATTTGTTAAACCTTGCAGGGGTTGCAGATGCTGTTCAGGAAATGGGACTGTTATCTGAAACTCTGCAAAGAGATGACATCACACTTCCACGAGTTTATCAGCTGATTAATCGTTCCGTTTGTGCCATTGAAAAAATGAAAGACATGCCTGGCAAACATCTGAAAGAAGTCAGGGAATCGCTGGAGAAAGGGAATTTTAAAGGTGTGACCATCAATCCAGAGAGTAAAAAAGGCCAGGTAAGGATAAATCTCCCTCAATTTTATCAAAGATTGGTGGATAATTTACGCTCCAGACTCTTTGCTTTAACTGCGAGCAACAGACCTGCAGATTCATCACAGTCAGGTGAATTTGAAACTCTTGTCTCTGAAATTGACATCCTGAATTCACAACGCTGGCCAATCAATGTGGACAGTCAGGGCTGCCATCAGAAATTTTAGGGCCCTTTACACAGCCCCGATCTTTTCTAATGGGCTGTGTGTTTAGTTTTTATACACTATTTGTTTTAGAAATTCCCTGCGAGGGAAAGATCACCCATTGTGGTGATTATTCTGTTAGTATGACTAACAAGTTAACTCCCTCACAAACAACACCATTCACTTTATCACAGTTGTTAGAACTGTACTATATTCATTTGTTGTTTATGTAAACTGGCACTTTACAATAAATGTTGCACTGAATTTTCTGCGAAATAAATATTTTTTTTTGGGGGGGGGGGGCTGTAAGTGGATCTTGGCTGAGTTCCCACACTTTTTTTCTTGACTTGACCCCTGGGAAGAAGCATCCAGTTTTGGAGGAGAGAGGCGGTATGCCGATATAACATTGTGGGTCAAGAAACAGCTCTGCTTATATGGAGGAGATATGACAGAGAGGACCCATTTGGACGTTATTGTAAGAAAGGATGTAGATCAGGAAAATGTTACCAACTGCAGATTGTGGAGGTGGGGGAGACGTGGATGCCATAGATAGTGAATAATAAAAAGAACTGGCACAAATTGAAAAATTAAGAGATAAAATGGATATCTAATATGGAGGTGAAAGACAAATGGATGGAGAAGAGGCAAGGATAAAGGAAAGGGGCGTAATATGATACAATAATAGAGTGAGCCCAACAGAGACGTTAAACATATAGAGATTGTGTTAAGATATAGAGGGGTTGAAGGGACATTAATATCCTTCATCCATGTCGGTTTTAACAAAATAAATGGTGAGAAGTAGGAACTGAAGGGGACATTTAAATAACAAAAAAAGGCAGATGGGCCTGAGGAGGTACAGAAAGTTTGAACATCATTTTTGTTACTTGTTTCTACAAGGAAATCTGGCATTATTTTATATCACTATAAAAGAAGCATAAATAAAAGTACATGTCAGTCTTCATTTTGTAATTGAACTGTCCCCTGGTGAACATACAATTTGGTCCTTTTAAAATTTGTAAAGAATAAATTATTTAATTATAAAATACTTTGAAGTTAAGTCTTTTTCTTGAAATCGATATTATTTCAGTTCACAAAAGCCATGATAACATGATTTATTTTTGATTGACTCATCACCCACACGCGCACACTTCAATTGTTAAATCGCCAAGTTCTGGAAAAGAGCTTGTAGGTCTTTCTTTAAACCTGTGATCTGCTATACTAATGAGTTTCAAGCAGTGATGAGTGAAATGTGCGGAGATCTCACAGTTGCTGTATGTATGTTCTTTGGCTGCATGCGCTCCCTAAAAAAAACACAAAGAGTTAAACACTTTCAGGTGAGTTTGGCAGGAATTGACAATTCTGGCTTTTTTTTTTACCTAAAATTTGAAATCTCCAGGTAAAATCCTAGTTTAACATATAACCCTTCCATGCACTACGAACCCTATTTCTGCAACCTATATTCACTGCATCAGAAAGAGGGTAACAAACAGGATCAAAATCTTTTAAACATCTTCACATCCCTTAACCAGTTGTCTCACAATCTGGGATTCTAAATTAAAATTATTTATTTTAATGTGACATTGGGTTGAAAACAAATATTTAAAAAGTAAAATAAACTACTTTTTTTTGTAATAAATAAACGCCAAAAAAAAAAAATAGAGATTGGAGAAAAAAGTGTCAGCAGAGTCCTTTTCCACCCCCACAGTGGTGGATATGCAATTGCTAAATAAAATGTGTTTCTAATATTCTGGTCAACGATAGAATTGTGTTGAATATCCACAGCTTGTGTAATGATAATGTCTTAAGCAAGATACTTCAAGCAGGATCAAATCAAACACAGTTTATTTCGGTAGTAAATTAAAAATCCTTGTAAAAAGTCAATAATGGACAAAGTGGTATAGAATATAGAACCAAAAAAATGAAGCCCCTTTATTACAGAGGATGTGCCAGATTTGTCGTGATTTCAGTGGTTTATCCTAAAATGGTTAATATCTTGCCCAGCTTTCTTCTGATGCAATCAAAATTTAATGTTTTTTGAGGTGAGTTTGTACCACCTTTCTGCATGACTTTGGTTGTATTTACGACCCAGTCAATTCGTTTAAGGTTCCTTTAAATGTATAATACGCATCTGAAAATATTTATGTCTATTCTGATGATCTCAACCAAGGAGACGGGCCGGGGTGGAGACAAACGCCACCCTGGCCAGTCAGCATCTCCTCTTAGAGGTGCATTGAATCAGTGCATCTCTATGGGGAAAGTGCAGTGTCTACGTACACAGAGTGGAGACGCTGAACTTCAGTGCTGCACACTGTGCAGCACTGAGCCAGGAAGCACCTCTAGTGGCTGTCTGAGGAGTGGCCACTAGGCTGTCATGTAAACACTAATGTAAACACTGAAAGGCAGTGCTTACGTAAAAAAAAATCCTACAGGGACAAGGTACAGACACCATAACAACTACAATAATCTGTACTTGTGAAATGCTATTTGAATAACCCTGTAAATATTTATTATTTCCCTATTCACCATAAACACAGATCCAAATACCCTTACCGTTAATTTCATTGTACACATTTAGTTGGATGCCAGAGAATTATGATAGCTATAGTTAATATAAAACATACTGCTGGATGCCCAGGTTAGACACACTTGTTTTAGCTCCCAGTTATTCCGGAGAAGCTATCAGTGAATTGTTGTGCTGCTATACCCATCAAAATTTATATTACTCATCAGAACTTTACTTAGGATTATTCATCATTAAAGCCTTGCAAAGCTTCATTGAAATTGTTACAGTTGGGATTTTACCTTTTGGTCACCCGTAGACTATAGCTTTGTTTCAAGGACAACATAGATATCAGATATTCTCTGGTAAGTAATGCATACATAGATCCAAATACTATGTAAGTGCCCAGTAAAAATGTTTCATATTTTTTGCAACTTTTCTGAGAGTTGTTTCTTTATATATTATTGCACTAGTGGCTGTTGTGCTTTTTCGTCTTCCCTTGTTTGACATTTTGTATACATATTAAACAACTGAACTATGTTTGTAATTTTCTCTACTTACTCTATAAATTTGTATCTTGTAGGGTTTCCGAAAGAGCGCCCTGATTTAGATAAAAATGGCGCCCTGAAGCAAGTTGCTGTTTTCCCGTGGAGTTCTTTGGTGATGTCATAGCGACCAACGCCAACTGGATTCTGAAAACAACCATTTAAAACATGTATTTTTGTTCCATTTAAACAAAAAGTCAATACCATGTTCGGTTAAAGACATACAAGAGAATCAAATGAGAAGAAATGGAATTGGAAACAAGAATAGCTGAAATGTGCATAATATCGATTAAGGAATTATATTACAGGGGAATTTAATTACTGAGATTTTATTGACATGCGGCAATCCACAAATAACATGCAACGGCTGTTGGAGCTGTACTATTAATTCAAGATTTCATATGAAGAGAACTCAATGAGGCCGTATCAAATTCCAACAAAAACAGTCTGTCACTTTTGCTTAGTTGACCCAGACAGATAAAAAGTACCACGGATTAGCCAAAAACATCCAAAACTGGCATAATGCAGTTTGAGCAGTTTGTTCTCTTATTACTTTTTTCTATTCCATAAATAAATAATAAGATTCAGAATTTCTTAAATTAAAAAACATTCATCACGGTGCTACAGAACAGGGAATAACATTTAATCTAGTAATTCCAGTAGCCAAATAATGTAGGATTTAAAGGTTAATTACTATATTTAGCTTATTTGTTTTCTCGAGCCTACAGTTCTAGGATACTGGCATAAAATTACAAATATGATTATCTGGACACTGCATGCACAGCAGCCTCACACCCAAATCTCACACAATGCCTTGCATGTAGCGTGTAGTCACATTATTTGGGGATGGGTCGACTGTACACACAGCAGCCACATCATGTGGCAGCCATCTTAGAGGAATAATTGCAAGCTTCAGTAATATATCTTTAAATCTTTACATTTGCTGAATATTTCACCATCACAATATACAGATTCAATTAATACCTTTATATAAAGGCACATATTATGCAGAATGACAGGTCTGCTCAAAAGGTACGTACCATATTTCCAGAAAGCAAGCTGCAAGATTTTGTCTCAAATCGTTTAGCAGAACAGAAGAAGGGAACTCCAGTTTCTGGCCTTGGAGTAAAAGATGGTTTAACGTCATAGAATCCAGGACCAGGCGATTTCTGCAACATATATATGCATGACATTTGACATCTATCACAGGAACTCTACTACCTCCCACCATTGTCCAGAAACAGTCTGGGCTGGAAGGCGCTGTGAGGATCTAACAGAGGGGTCTCAGCCCAAGACTTTCTCCAAAACTGTCACATTCCTCCCACAAATACCGTGGGTGTTTTAGTAGTCTATCCAAGTGAGATACTTGGTAAATCAGTGTGCATTGCATGTGGACATGAAACCCATATACCTACTATTCACAAGCATGGAAAAAAACAACATATACTAATCCAGGCCTATTCTTCCTGTAACTGAACTTTCATGATCCTTATAAGCACTATGCTAACTCACATAAGGTTATTTACTAAAGTCAGTGGCGTACATACCAGGGTCCCGGCAGGCGGGTGGCCGGTCGGGCAGGCGGGCGCGTGAGGGAGCACTCAGTGCTTCTTCTTCAGCTCCCTCGCGCACCTCACTGATGCCGGAACCGGAAGATGATGTCATCTTCCGGCGCCGGCATCCCTATGCGGCGCGCGAGGGAGCTGAAGAGGAAGCATTGAGGGGAAAGTGCTCCCTCGCGCGCCGGCCACCCAAACCGGCCCGCCCAGCAGCAGCACCACTGCACCCCAGAGAATCCCCCCAGCACCCCAAAAGGTAAGGAGGCTGGGGGGATTAAATTTGAAGAAAAAAAGTGTGAGTGTTAGAGTGAGTGTGAGTGTTAGTGTGAGTGTCTGCTAGTGTGAGTGTTAGTGTTAGAGCTAGTGTGAGTGTTAGAGCTAGTGTGAGTGTTAGTGTGAGTGTCTGCTAGTGTGTGTGAGTGTTAGAGTGAGTGTTAGTGTGTGTGTCTGCTAGTGAGTGTCAGTGAGTGTGTTACTGTGTGTGTCTTACTGAGTGTGTGTGTGTGTGTGTTAGTGAGTCTGTTTGATGTCTGTTAGTGAGTTTGTGTTTGTCAAGGAGAGTGTTTTGTAAGTGAGTGTGTATGTATGTCTGTCGCTGAGTGTGTGTCTGTTAGCTAGTGTGT